ACTCACAAGTTTGTTAATCTCAGAAGATAATCTCATTCTGGCTGTGATTAGAAAAACAATGGAAGTTCACATCCCTAGTAGATTTTTGATGGGTACTCTTGAACAGCCTGTTCTCCACAAACTACTTGTAAGAGGTCAAAAGAAAAATAGAAGTGGTTAAAAGTAACTGTTTTGGTTGTTAACAGAACATTGTCTTCAGCTGTACAAGTGTTTAAATCTGAAAAAGAGATATGAGAAAAAAGCATTGGAGCACAACCCTCAGTCAAGACCTGAAGAGGAACAAGACACTGCTTTCAGTGAGGAAACTGGGCTGGGACAAGTACTGATAACCTTGGGATCCAGTACAGGAGCATTGTCAGTTCCCTGGAGATGACACCACATCAAATCATCTTTGCTCAAGGCTGTGTGTGAACAGTTTACTTCTCACAGCTTGTCCTTGTAGTTCCTCTCTTCTTAGCCAGCATTAGAGAATATCTTCCTATTCTTGACAACAGGAGTGTCAACATTTTATTGACATGTTTAAATATTATGTAGGCTTAGATATTCACACAATCACAACCTTAAGTAGGCTGCATTTCTATTTACAACTACTTATCTGAATATACTATCCTTTTATATACAGTGCTCTCTCTCCTAGTCCTGTCTGCCACCGTATGGAGGAGACTCCCTTTGATCCTTTACCACTTCTGCAAAATTTTAACGCATGTTTTCTTGCCTGAGGTGCCACTTTCCTTGCTGAAGGAGATAATTCTAAGAAAATATGTTTTGCATGAGCTATCTGCTTGTCCGGCAGACCCATCCCCAAGTGATTTTGGGGACCAGCAGACAATGTTAACTAAGTTTGAGAGAGAAGTGCATGTCACAAACACACTCCAGAGCCAACAGGCTTTGACAAACCCCACAGCTGGGTAACTGAACACAGCAGAGCCCCTGCTGAGGCACCACGTGCTCCTCTGCTCAGCTGAGGTTTTGGGTGCAATGGGATGTTCCGATGGATCTCAGAGCTGACAAGTCGGTCCGTGGTCTCCTCCATGTAGGGCACCCTGCAGCCCCCTGTTCCCAAAAGCTTGCAATTTATGCCAGATAGATTAAGCTCGAATTTGTGACGGTGTCCTTGGAAGGATCAAAAGAAACACACACAGTGGTTTAACAAACTGCCTCTGGTCAGCCTCTCTGGAGCACAGGGCTCTGGGCACTCCTGGTCCTGCCCAAGCAGGCTGCAGGCAAACCTTGGGGATACACTGTGAGAAGATTTCAACAGGAGGCTGATAGATTAGAAATAACATCATGTGATAGGACACGAGGTGCAGGAAAACAGGGGGCAAAGGAGGGGGGAAAGGACAAGCAAAGCAAATTTGCAGAGGCAACCTCTGCAAGTGCTTCACACTTACTGTGCATGAGCTTCATGACCCAAAGGATACAATTCATCAATTCTATGCTGACCTCAAATTATTAAATCCAGGTTTATTAGGTCTGGATTAAAAATCTACAACTGAGTCAGAGCTGACTCATCTTTGGTGAATGTTAAAGTCACATCCACTTTGGAGCATTTATTAAAGCTTCCTTGTATTTTTTATGTCTAACAAATGAATGGTTCACCTCAGTAGTGAAGAGACAATGCTTATGAAAAAGAAAGATCTTTTAGGTACCCCACTATCCAAATATTTATTTTTTCAAGTTTCTCTCAAAATGATCAGATTATAGTCAAAGCACTAGATGTGATACCTGTGCAGATTTTTTTTTTAAATTAGGTTATAATACTTCAATGTTGATCTCCTCTAGCAGTCAAAGCATTTAAATCAGTGACTTGAGTATATGCTGAATAGGAAAATATTTTTTTTCCCCTGAGTTTACTGACACATTCTTTCCTCTAACACAGGAAAGGAAAGGGAAGGTAATCTGCAACATGCTTTATACAATTTGCAATATTCCGGTTAATTTCACCTAACACTTTTCCTTTCAGAATTAATTGACCTTAGCTTCTACCAGAAATGCAAGAGCTGCTCTCCCAAAATTCACAAAGTGTTGCAAGAGATTTTAGCACTGAAGTGGGGATTGATCCTGGGACATGAAACAAGGAAGAGAAGAGATTTAAAGGCAGGCAGGCACAGAGCTTTGTGTTGAGGAAGGAAAAGCCCACACTAAGCATTACACATGAGATCAAACTGCCCTTCTGTCTGCTGCTGTAGGTCTTCCCTTGTGTGTTCTTCTAAAATTGTTTTATACAAAGAGGGAAAGTACTGGATTACAAATATTTTAAGATAGATCCAATAGGAAAACAATGTTTGGAAAGCATGCAGATGCCTCAACTGAATTTCTGGAGGTATTACAGCAAGTACTTCCACCCTCCAAACCCAGCTGTGAGGCAGCACCTCCTAACTCTCTGTGAAGATCAGTCCTCACTTCATGCCTTAGCTGCTTTGGGACATGGGAAAACTTGCTTCTCTGTGTTGTTTAGAAAGAAGATTTTACACAGAAAGAATACTTTACAGTGTCTACTCGAGAACCCTGACAGGGGCAGATCTCCACAGTACAGAGCACACCAAACTGAGTGACTCTTGATCACTCACCCAAGTGCAACCCCCCAGGGTTTGTTTGGTTTGCTTTCCCATGGCAAACAGGGGTGGCAAAGATATGTCCACGAGACATTTCCTGTCTAAGAATGCACAGTGCATCCTTCCCAGCATCATTCTTTTCACACTTTGCTTCATTCAGATGACTACCATATGGCCCTTGTGATTTATTTCACCTGAGCCTCTTGAGTTGTTCCAAAATTCCTCCTTAGAGACTCTGATTTCTGTTAAGGACACACATTGATCTTCTGTGAGGTGGAGTATGGAATAAGAATTTGAAAGTCCTTTCCCCAAGTAAAAACTGCTATAAATAATAATTTAACTTCTCTGCTGCTTTACTTTTTAATTGTCACCACCTGCTGTCAGTCACAAGGCCTAGAGTCTCACCAGTGGCATAGCGCAATGGTTCTTAGTGCATTTAAACCAGCTTTAAATCACATATTCTTTATTCAGTCTGCTGCACCTTTGGTTTGTTGTTGGCAGAGGACAAGAGCCATATAGAAGTTAGATATATCACGTGGTTATTGCAGTAATTAAAGCTGTGTCAGATATTACATACCTTACAGTGCATGTGCCATCACTTCCTTTGCAGATGATGTCAATAGGCACACTGTGGCTGTGGCTTTCTCTGGAAACTGCTGCTCTAATAAGGAGAGCTCTGTCCTTCCCAGTCAGATACAACCTACAAGCATACCTAAAGTTTGCTCACAGCTAAGTTAGTGTAGCAACTACACGGCCCCTCTGGCAAAGCGATACGAGTAAGACTCCCTTATGCTAAACTTGTGAAATGCAAAATGTTAAGACAGTCAATGGCCAAAGGGAAAAGGTGGGAGAAGAGCCCTAATCCCTGATTTCCAGCTCCACACTCATTCAGATTCCCTTTTCAGCCATCTTAGGATCCCTGTCAGGGTGAGTTTCATCCATGTAAATTGGCTCACTGGACTGAGATCTTCCTTTTACCTGACAGCTCCCAGCAGCCACTTTCTGTGTCCAACACTCTGTAGCTGCACAGTCCAGAAGTGTAGAAAGACAAGTCTGTAAAATGAACTATAACTGGCCAAAGCAGGAGTTTTCAGACACACATCCCCATCAAACTCACAGATATGCTCAGAATCATTCCTCTGAAAACAGCAAGCTCCTCACCCAATCTCAGCTTCCGTCCTCCAGCCCTCTGAGCTGTGGAGCTGATCAAAACAAGGTCACAATGATATCCTCCTTTAATGAAAAATGTGTTCTTTCTTTCATTCCTCTTTTCTGGGGAACGGGTGAGTTGTTTTTGTTCAAACGTTCAACATCTTCACAAAGACCCCTTTGAAGGCTACCCTTGAACAGTGTAGGTCTAATAGGTTTAAGTTTCAAATGGGTCCAGGTTACTGGAAACAGGAGGTCAGAATCTAAAAAACTTTTAGACAAGGTTCAATGCATCTGTGAGAATTTCAAGCTACCTGGAAACAATGTAAGTACTCCAACACCTGCTTGTTACTTCTTGGGGAGAAGAAAAATAGAAGAAATAAAGGAAGAAAAAGTGACTGAAATTCACAGTTCAGGAATAAATGGTCCTTCCATCTCTGATTGTACAGGTAAGAGACATACAGGCATTCCAGAAAGGAAGGCCTAGGTAAAAAAAAGACCAAACACCCCCCAGCTGCAGAGAACCACTCCTTACTGCACGTGGCTCCAGGGAACGCTGCCACAGGAGTCAGAGTACTCACCACATAGCCAAGCTCAGACAGTCTCTAACCCTAAATGTTTAGAGTCAAACCTTCCTGCACCAGACAGCTCCAGAACAGGAGACAGAAGGGTTTTTGTGTTATTTTCACTAAGTGAAAAACTAGCATCAACATCAAAATTCTTCCTCACAGCACAGGTTTTACTGTTCTTTCCTACTTGTAGAAAACCTCAATCAAGTGTTTAGTATTTCACTGAAAAGTGAGAGCTCAGCACAGAGAATGTTGGTAAAGTGAGAAAAACACACCGTGCCTGCTCTCAGATGTTCATTTCTGTGCAAGTCAAAAATCACAGAGAACACTTTAAACAAATCTTAACATGCCTCTCATGCCCAGAAATGGGATTCCTCCTGCAAATGCCTTAGGCATGAACATCACAACACCCTCCTCTTGTACCCAGGCTCCTCCCATTTTCTTTTACCATTTCTCTTACCAAAAACACCCAGGTATTTTCATCTTTTTTTCACCTCTCAACCTAGTAAATTCAGAATATTGTGAAGCTTCCATAGCAAGAGTAAACAAGTTACAGGATCCATTGTTTCAGGTCTTAGAAAGTATTCTTAAAGTATTCTTAAAAATGAACAGAAGGCTATACAGATACTCATTATTTCTCTGGAGAGATACCAGTGTTAATCTACAAACTTCATTTTGAATTTCTCAGTGAGAAGCAGATTTGTGGCGGGTTTATAACCGAACGTACCTTTGCTTTCAGCTCAGCACAGATCTCCAGTTGCTTTTGCCTGGAGTCAGCCAGCACCACTTCTGCCTTGTGAGCAGCAGCAGCTTCAGCAGCAGTTGCCCCTGCCCTGAGGACAAAGGCTTTCCTAGCCTGAGCCCAGTTCAACAGCAAGGCTTTGCGCTGATTCCTGATGGAATGGTAACGATCCCAGGCTTTCTCATGAGCAACCTGAAAGAGGAAGGCATTTCACAAGGATTTAAGAACTACGCATTAATAATATAAAATGATTCTAGATATTTTTGCAAACCTTGAGAATAGTTAAATTAATTATATTATCCCCAATAATCCACAGGGCAGGGCCAGTGCCCTCTGCCAGGGATGTTCCAGCTGTCCAGGGCAGTGACCCCTCCCCAGCCTTGCCCTCTCTGCCTGCACCATGTGCTACTCCAGCACCCTGTTGGCCCCCTGTTCTTTGCTGAACTGCACCTTTGCAAGAGGAATTAAATGCAATGGTCCCTTCCTGCCCTGAGGGACATAAAAGACAATGTCCTTCCAATACATCTCCAGAGCTACTGAGCACTTCCAGCAAGATGAGGCTTTTCTTAGCAAATTGTGATCTACAGAGAAACAGGACACTGAAACAGCTGTACAAAAGCAGTACAGGTGAGAATCAGCTTCACTTCTTTCCTAACAGGAAATCTGGAAATAGAATTTTAGCTTGCCAAGCAGCACAGTGCCACCACCAGCACCACCACCTAGCCAAAATGGGGAGTGATTAATCTAAAATACACTCTCTTTGGCCTAATACAGTGAGGTTCCCAAGGGCATTCAAGGTTCAAGACTTTGACAGAAGTAGTAGCAGGTAAGGCTGCATACACTGAGGCCATTGAGTCCTGAGCCTGTCTCATATCCCCAAAAATACAAGTTACAGAGATGAAGGAGATTCTAGAGATGGCTAGCTGCTCACAGGTGAGGAGACCATTCTAGATGCAAATTTCCAGGCTTCTGGCAGGGAGTGCTGGCTGTGCCTGGCTCACAGACAATCCCATCAGTTTGTGGCTGGATGAAGACAGCTCTGGATCTTCCCCTTAGTCAAACACGAGGCCACCACCTCCTCAGTTCCCTCTGTCAGGGCTGCTGCCCCAGACTCACAAAATGCCAAAGCTGAGACAAAAGGCATTGGGTTGAGAGTCTGCTGGTTGGAAAACAGGCCTCTCCAACCACTCCCACAGGATCAGGCACTGGAGCTTGTCCACTGACCATTGTGCACGGAGGGAAGGAGGCCTGGAAGGCTCTCAGGCTGATGTTCCAATGTTACACACACACACTTTAAGAATAGATTCTTGGCACTGGTTTAGCATTTCCATATTTGTCATGCTAATACACATACTAAGAGATATCAGTTCGATGCAGAGTTAGATTTTTAAATTTAGCATTCTTAAATTTTAAATGAACCTTCAAAGAATTAGAGTCGTTATTAGAGGCTGTGCTTAAAATACACCTCCACTGTCCAAAGCACGTGACTATTCATCCCAGTTCTCCAAGGCAAAAGATCCAAAATCCACAAGAACTTTATTTTTAGTGAAACTCAGGCTAATTATCAGTATCACTTCACTGCCACTCCGTTGTACTAGACACTCCTCAAACACAGGGAAGTAGATGGTCTAAAAATACAGTCAGAGATAAAAAAAGCCTCCTACTTTCCTTATGAGTTCCTGAAATGTTCTGGCCTTGAAATGGGTTTCTCTATTAGTGCTATGAGCTTATTCACTGTGGAGTATAAGAGGAATCAGCAATCAATTTGAAAGGCATTATACATATAAAAATAGCCTCTCCCTGAGAGCAGGAGATAACTTTTCACTCTTCTTCCTATATATGTGTCACAGAACAATTAAAATCACTATTACTAGACAGTGTGACAAGGCTCTACATCCTCATGAAAAATAAAAACACCGAGAGAAGCAGAGTAGCATGACAAGGCTATAAAACTGTACAGCAAAAGCAGTGCTAACAAATTATTTTGTGAATTTGGCTGTAACAGTGTGTGGAGCTATAAAAACTCCCCAGGGCTTGTTTTGATAAGGCAATAAGTTTAAAGGTCCAGCATTTTGAAAACAGGGACATCTCATCTTCATTGTGCAGAATAAAATTTTTAATTAAGAAATTTTAAAACAAAAAAAGTTGATAAACATTCTTTAATATAACTGCTCACTACATAATTTATGTAAGAATTTGTATACTTGAATGAATATTTAAGCCAACACTGACCAGCTCATGCCTGGATTTGTGGGGAAGGCATCTCTGCAGCATATCCAGGTACAAAGTCCTCCTCCTCTGAAGATCACTTGGATACTGATTGATAACAGCCTGGAAAACCCACTGATCTTCTTCCTTCCAGTCACTGTTCCTACAGGAATGTAAAACAATCCACCCCAGTACAACTTCGCCACTGAAAAGGAGGAGTTTGGTTCTGAGTTATTTTTACAGCTCACAGTCCTGATGCTGTAAAACTGCATGTTGGGTCAGAGCTGAGCTTGTTTCATTTAGTGAAACAAAGCAAACATATAATGCTTTGCTAATGTGACCATTTATTGTGCCATCATTCAAGCAAATTGTTCTGTTTCTAACCTGGCTCTTTACTGGGGAATGACACTGTTTCTCCAACATGCCTCGATAGTGGAGACACAGTCACTCTACATGGGAAAATACAAGAAGGAGGAGAGAGAAAGGAAGATGATCAGACTCTACCACTGAGCACTAAATACATGATCAAAATGAGTGACAAGCCCTGCATGCAGTTAAATGAGGAGCTAGTTTAAAACCACATTCCTAGCAGCCATAAACTCATCAGCAAAGCATTTTTTAGAATAGCATTTGTACCAATGAGCTTGCATTCATCTATCTCTGAAAATTAGAGTTGCAAGTAGCATCCAGCTGAAACAGAGTACCATGGGCTTGGACTCAGTAGCTCAGAGTTTACCCTCAATCTGAACTCTTGGCCCTCAAGGGATTAATGTCAGGCTGTCACTGTCAGCATTAACATCTGAGCAGCAACACTGAGTCAGACCAAAAGGTCTCTCTAGCCCAGTGACCTGGTTTCAGAAGTGACTAAGAGCCTAGGGATAATTAAAAGACAGCAATCATGAGATTCTGCAACCCCCCCCCTCGAATTCCTGCCACCTCCAGCTGCTGCAGTTCCTGGACTGCCTGAGCCAGCAGCAGTGCCTCAGTATTCCATAGCCAGACTCAGTATTCCATACATGCTGCATCCAGCAAGGCACTGGAACAGCCTTACCCTTCTGCAGGCAGAAAAACCAGGTAGTTCAGAAAGGGGGTTTTTAGGAGCTGCTCACATGTAATTATATTAAACTAGACCTTATTATGTGATCCAGCATTATCTCCGAGGAGAAAACAGTGACCATTGTCATTGAGAAACAATTCTGTGTACCCAGTTTAAGCACCTTTTCTGTAACACATTGCACAGTAAACCTGCAGTGCATTGTCCCCATTGCACAGCACCGGGGACAGGGAGGGGACACAGGGGGAACATCCCTACACCTGTCAGCTTTACAAAGGGAAAGCTTCACCTGCAGACACGTCTCAAGAATGCAAAGACACAACATCCTATTTCAGCAAACCATTTCACCTGAACCACAAAGTATTTCTGTCAAGTTTGGTGACAAGCTTACATGAGACAGGAAAGTAAGCGAAAACTTTCTCTTATAAACTATGTCAAATATCCCACAATCAATGTCTAGGACCCAGGAGTTTGCTGTTAAGCCCAGCCCTCTTGAAAAGAACTGGAGGCAGGCTTGAAATGGGAGAGCAAAGATGCAGCTCCAGTAGAAAGTTTATCTGCAGTGACTGGCAAGAACCAAGCAAAGGCTGGAGACAAGGTAACCAGTCAATGACACCAGCCAAAGCAGAACAGCAATGAAAGTGTTTCTTTGTAAGTGCCTGCTGCATTTCCCAGACAGACAATGAATACAGATGTCTGAGCTGGGTGGTTTCATACCCTAAGCCTAGAGTAGAAATAGTACCCCAGAAGGGAAATGGGCCTAAGGAATCCTTCCAAGAGGGAACGGTGCTGTAACACCCCATAACCTCCACTCTGCAGGCAAGGAGCAGCAGGGACAGCCCCTGAGCTCGCTCACAGAGGTGGCATTGGAAGGAGGTGCGGTTTCTGCAGCATTTACTGCCTCTAAGAGAAATGTCTTACACCTGATCCTCAGAAATTAATGTTTTAAACTCCTCCCTCTTCTTTAGAGGGAGCTTTTCTATGAAATCAGATAATTTATTAATTTTAGAATCTGTGTGTTATAATTTGATATTCTGAGGCATAGGATTTCTGAAGAATAACTTTAATGAGCAAATTAATTATTCTTTGCTATGATTTAAATCTCTTGCACTGCAATTGCTCCTACTGATATGAACTAAGTACAAAAATATTTTGTAAGATAACACCTATAATCCTTGTCTTTCCAGCCCCAACATTCCGTTCATTTGTGTATTAGAAGAATCAACATATAACTCTGGCAGCCTTCACTCAGAGGGACTACCAGCCATTCTAAGAGAGTGTTTCCTAGTTTACCTGTTGGATTTTCAATTACCTCTTGTAATTTCTGAAAGAAATCAGTAATCCTCCTCTATGAGTCCTGACACACCTCAGTATGCTGACATCTGAACATATCACTTTAGTGCAGAAATGAGACAGTTCTAAGAGCTGAGATTCTCTCTTGTAACCTTCTACCTTAGATATTCCTGCCCACACAGGTTGATGAACAAATAGAGGTCTTCTGCCTACAGGTGAGTAAGGCAGAGTAAGATACATGTTGGTCAGGGAAATTACACCACACAGGGGCAGAGGCACCAGTCGCTGCATCAGTTCCTGCCTCTTCCATCTCACTCATCTCTCCAGTTCTCCCCGACTTATATTCCTCTAATGGCCAGCTAAGGATGAATCTCTGCACTTCTCCAAACAAGGGGGAGAAATTAAGGCTTGTGGAAGATCCTCTGGGGAGCAATCAGCTGGAGATACAGCTACAAGTAGTTTATTGTAAGTAGGGACCAACTGACTGCCAATGCCTTGGTTTGTCAGCTGTGCCAAAATTTGTCAGCTGTGCTGAGATTTTGTCAGCTGCTCATAGACAAATAGCACCAAAAAAAAAAAAAAATAATCAGCCTGACCCAGCCCAGCGCATTCACAGCACTAAACGCGCAGGGAATTTCAACGCGTCCTGCGGAGATGGCACCTTGGCAACACCTCCGTGAAATTCCAAAGGAACAGCTCACCTACAACACACCTGAAAACTCCAGCGCATTTGACATGAACAGTTAAGGTAATATCAGGTTTCTACAGTGTCAAGACATAGACAAACATTTGCCAGGCTGAAAGCATGACCCAAATTTTAAAGGCAGCGCTGGCTTTCCGTGTGTGCAGCATTGTACCAGAGCACAGCACAGGCTTGGGTTTGTTCCGGAGCTGAAACACAGCAATTGTCTTCTATGCAACAGCCCGGAGGCAGCTGCTTCCTTTGAAACAGATTTAGCCAGCGTTAATCCCTGGCTTTACATGGCCTAGAGAATACAAACAGCTCCGAGGGGAAGCTCCCCTCTCCCCTGTAATCCCCACAGATCCCTTGCAGCAGTAGCGTGTGCTGGCACCGCTGTCGTGTCGGCTCTGCAGACACACGGGCTGCCACAATGCCACCGAGGGAGATGTCAACCCCCTGTATTAATTATGTCACTGCTGATTGTTGTAGCAGAGACATCCCGGGAACAGGCCTGGAAAGAGGACTACGTTGTCTTGGCCCTCCTCTCCCACTCATTTGAAAAGATGCTGCCGAGGATGCACTGCTGAGTCTGCAATACTCCATTCATCCTTCAGTGATTTTAATAATTCAGACTTCCTTGGAAATCGTGGCAAAAATATAATAGTGCTTAGAGAATCAGCAGCTATAACACACATATCAGTTCCAAGTCCACAATTTGGGGACCTGGGAATTTCCCAAACACAAAAACTTGTGGTTTAGCAGTAGTAAAAGGAATGAAATTAGATTATAAAATATTGTAATCCTATATCAGGCTTGAAAAAAATCCCAAATTTTTGTTCCATTTCTGAAAGCAATGAGTATTGCAATGGACACTCTAGTGGGACTGAAAAGCACACAGAATAGATAAGAACATTATCTTAGAATGTCCAAAAAAGAAAATTCAGACTATGTGCATTTTCCAAATTCTCTGTTCCAGACAGTCTGAACAGTGAAAAAATGGGATGTGCAATGCCAGAGCAGTATCAGCTGAGGGTTTCTTCACTGTACATTCATGCACATGATGAAAGAAGGAGGACAGAGCAGCAATCCCCAGCTGAAGTGACCAGGTTACCACATTATCACAGAGTCAAGTTGTGCTGCTGAGCAACTTCTCAAATCACCAAAACGACGGAAGAAGTGTCTTGCAGGAGGGTGTTTGGTCTCTGTGGGTACAGAGCAATGACAATAACTGCAAAGGCTTCATTAAGGCTGTATTAATCAGTAGAGCACAGGGGATACACACCAAGGTCAAGGACCTGTCACTCCAATTTCTGACAGCATTTTCTGTGCCACTTGGATCACAGGCTGCCTGATGAATTATAGAATACTTCAATCACAAGGCTGCATCTTTGCAAACTCATAGAATATTCCCATGCAAATTAACCAATATAAACGTAAGAAGTGACAAAGAGTGTTGTGTCTTTTATAAACCCAGCTATTATTGGAAGTAAGCAATGCTACCAGAACAAAGTCTTGCTTTTTTTTACACTGAAAACACATTTTTAATGTTGCTGTGAATAAAATCATAGAAACATAAATTAACAATACATTAAAGATTTTGTTTGCCTTCTGGCCTCCAAAAAACCCAAGACCTAGTTTTAAATAAGTTGTCTGAGATAATTGCTGGGGGTTCATTCATGATTCCCTAAATTCCCAGCTCTCAGCTCTGGCACATGCTAACCTAAAGTGGGTCTCTTGCCCCCCAGTATCACCTTACAGTCCCCTCAGCAAACTGCTGCCCCTACCTCCAGCATTTCTTCCAGCTCCATCCCCTTTGCTTTTCCCTTCTAGAGATCACAGCTTCATTCCTTCAGAGCACCACTGCTCATGTTCATGCTACAACTGCATTTATTTCCCTTGAAAATATGGCATTTTATCTTTAAGTCTTGATAGTCTTGAATTATCAGTGCAAAATCACCTAGCTCTAGCCCTGAATTCACACCTGGCCTATGAAAATACCACTGTAGATTTTTCAACCATTTTCAGAGATTCTGTTGTCTACATTGATGTTTCTTATTCAGTAGCACACATGCTATGTGGGTCCAGGATTTAAATTTATGAATTCTCACTAAAATTATGTTGATCATAAACTTTAACACAATTTTAATTAAAACCACTAGAAAGACTTTGCACATATTTAATGATTTAACATTTGTCATGGGTTCTCACTGAGGTTGTTAAAACATCTGTAACAAAATATCAGAGACAGCAGCAAAGCAACTGCTGTAAATTTGCCACTTGCTGTTTAATAAACGTTATAAATATGGGATAAATCCAAGCAATTTTTAATAAGCATCATGTTATAACAGCTAGGATGCTACAGTAATAATATACAGGTTTCAGGTAACGGAAGAAGAACCTACAGAATGTCTGTACAATTTGTACAAAAAGTAAGCAGATCCTAACATTACTTTCTGTGTCCCCCAACACCTTTAACCTGCTCCAGCACACCCAACGATCTCAGCAGCAGAGACAGAAGATCCAAGTGCTGTGCTGGAGGTGAATACAGACAACAGAGAGATTGGGAAGCAGTGTGCCACTGTTTTACCAAAGAAACCAAGGGACCCTGCTGCTCTCTGCACTTTCTTCTGCCCAGGCTTCCAACCATTCCATTGATCTCCCCCTTCTCAGTCTTTAAACCCAAAGCCATTCTAAGCCAGAGGAATATCAGGAGATGGCAAAAAGAAGGCAAAGCCCGTCCAATATCTGCATCTCAGTATTTCTCCTGGACTCTAGACAGTCTCAGCAAAAAGACTAAGCTTTATACTACTAATGTTTAGGTTTGTTACATTTCTAGATCATTATGAATAATGTTCTTTCTATTAAGTGTTTCATTTACAGAAAAATCTCTCCTTCCTTCAGTTAATCTGAATCAGAGCTATATACATTTTTTACATTTCTTTGTGATGACAATTACTGCAGTGATCCTAAAATTGTGAGAAGACTGGACCTTTTTATCTGCTTTATAGATGAAAAACGTTCTGAACGTGTCTCAGAAAGCCTGTATTTTCTATCATAAATTTGATAGTAATTACCATGCAAAAAGAGTAACTTGTATTCCTGCAAGAGCATGTGAAGAGGACATTTGATACACACCAGATTGCTGGTTCCTTATCCCACCAAATATGTTGCTTATTATTTCAGCAGAGAGCTTTTGCAAGGACTGGCTCCACCCTCAGCTGTGTAAACACTTCCCAATTGTCCAGCCCCAGAGCTGGGTAGAGCCTCCACTGCCCTGCACCAAACAGCACCAGCTCGAATGCCAAAGCCAACTGCAGGACCAACAGATTATAAAGGATGTTATAGGCACTTTTATCCCCAAGAAAAGTCATGTAGAAAATTATCCTTACCCGGACAAAGCTTCCAACTGCTGGTCGAGCTCCTGAAGCCTCGCCCAGTAGCCTCTGGCAAGCTCTTGGTACTCCTGGATCACCAAGGTCTTCAGGTCAGGGTAAGGGCATTCCAGAGACAGCAGCTCGGCAGGAACCCCATGAAAAAGTCCATTTTTCTCCTCAGAAGAGCCCATTAATGCCTGCAATGAGGAAATGCTTCTCAGAACACTGCTCTGCATCATATTTTCTCTCTCAAGAAATTGAACCTATAAAGAAAAACTTACATTTGCTTTGTAGTCTTCAAGCTCTCTCTCCAAAGCCAGACTTTCAAGGGTAAGACCTTCCAAAACTGCCTTCTGCTGGTTCTTCACAAATTTGATCTATTTTGTGAAACATGTTACGGTTACTTCTTCATCTTGTTACAATATGAAAGCTTTCACTTAGAAAGTCAGATTGCCAGCCCTACACTGCTACACTTGCACAGATTTGAGTGAGCAGAGATCTGTACCATGGCAAGTAGAGAGGTTACAGGATACTCTACATGTCAGTTAGTCTCAAAGTTTAATAAAAATAAATGTAAGTGCTAAAAATATGGTGATAATAAATTGTAAAAATAAAGTTAAAACACCAACCTGCTGTAACATCTCAAATGAATCGATCTCAGGTTTCTGACAAGATTCTTCTGAGAGGCAACGCTGAGAGGCTTCACAAAAACGTTGCATTTCTGCCAGCTTGAGTTTCAAATCCTCCTTTAGCTGCCAGACAGGAACTACAGTGTTTGTTTGGTGAGTGTCCCGCTCCCTGGACAACTCCTGCTCTGTATCCAAACGAAACAAAGCTTTCTCAAACACACAAAATATTACACAGCACTGAGCTCTCCAAATCTAAACCTATCAAGACAGGGGTTTAAAAACTCAAACAAACAATCAAGATCATTTTGACTTTAAAATAATAATGAAGAAATTCATAAAAATTCTTACCCAAGTCCCTCAAATCCAAGAAGAAGTTGTGTTTATGGCTTTCTTCATCAAGAAAAGTCGTTATTTCTTCTTCTGCTTTTTGCCTGAAAGGTATGAACATGGATTTTACAGAAGCTTTAATTTCTTATTCGTTTTGTTTGTGAGAATGCTACGCCTCAAATAATTAACTAAAAAGGTGATCCCTCGCCTGGGACAGTAGGAAGTGCAGGATGTGGACATGAAGGTGGCAAGGAAGCCCCAAAGGTTGCTGTTGATCTGTGTCTGTACAGGAACAGGCACTAGACAGGAGTAGCATCAGTGTATCTATATATCAGTATCTACAGCAGTGTATGTATATATCAGTATCCATAGCAGTGTATCTATATATCAGTATCCTAGAGTGTATCTATATATCAGTATCTATAGCAGTGTATCTATATATCAGTATCTACAGCAGTGTATCTATATATCAGTATCTACAGCAGTGTATCTATATAGCAGTATCTATAGCAGTGTATCTATATATCAGTATCTACAGCAGTGTATCTATATATCAGGATCTATAGCAGTGTATCTATATATCAGGATCTATAGCAGTGTATCTATATATCAGTATCTACAGCAGTGTATCTATAGCAGTGTATCTATAGCAGTGTATCTATAGCAGTGTATCTATAGCAGTGTATCTATATATCAGTATCCATAGCAGTGTATCTATATATCAGTATCTACAGCAGTGTATCTATATATCAGTATCCATAGCAGTGTATCTATATATCAGTATCCACAGCAGTGTATCTATATATCAGTATCTATAGCAGTGTATCTATATATCAGTATCTACAGCAGTGTATCTATATATCAGTATCTACAGCAGTGTATCTATATATCAGTATCTACAGCAGTGTATCTATATATCAGTATCTACAGCAGTGTATCTATAGCAGTGTATCTATATATCAGTATCTACAGCAGTGTATCTATATATCAGTATCTATAGCAGTGTATCTATATATCAGTATCTATAGCAGTGTCAATAGACAGGAGCAGCATCAGTGTCCCTGTTCTAAGTGTGAGCTCCAGACACACACCCAGACACAGACTCCAAGAGAATCAAAACTGAAACCTTTCCATACAGAAACTCTTGTCTGCTGGTGTCTTCCTTCAGCAAGGACTCCTAAAGGCTCCTCAGCTCTTACCTGCTCTGGCTCAGCCTCTTATGCTCTTGCCACCACACCTGCTGGTGCTGTTTCAGTAGCATTTGCTCTTTGTTAATTTTTGAAACTTGCTCTGTTTTTTTAATCTGCAGAGAAAATTAAAGCTTGCATTTTGAATCTGTTCAATAGCTTTATCAAACACCCTCATATTGAAAATTTTAAGGACAGAATGATGAACCTTTTTTCAGAACTTTTTTCCTAAAAACTTTTTTCTGAAGAAAAATGTGTTCAGGTGTAACCAATTTTCATGAGGAAAAGAAGGTTTATTCCATGTCAAGTCACAATTAAATGAGAGGGGAAAATGAAAAAAATGCAGTCCATTTTCTTCTTCCCTTTTCCATCCCTATTTTAAGGGGTGAAGCGGGGAAAAGATGAGTAGGAGAAAGAAAAATTCTTACAGGTGGGAAGATGAAAGAGTGAAAGTCTGTTCCTCAAGAAAAAGAATTTCAAAAATGTATGACTAAAAAAGTATTTTTGCAAAATCTATCCAATTAAAGAGGCTCTGAAATTGTTTGAGGGCTTCACAAAAACATTGCTTCACACTCCAGATGAAATAGGAACACCTGCTTCTGAGACAGATGGAGTTACTGCTTAAGCCAGAGCAAAAGGTGCCAGGGGGAGGCTGCTGAAGTGGCAGCCACATAACTCTGGCCAGCCAACAATGAAGAAAAAGGGATCAAAGCCTGTGGCTGCCAGATATCCCTGAGACATTTCCTGTCCCCCTCCTGCCATCGTGACTGTCTCTGCCTCTCAGTGCATACAGAGGACAGAGCTCCTTTCCTGCTCCTTCCCTTTATGCTGCCTTGCCATGCCCTTCCTCCAGAACACCTGTCCATCCCTGGCCCAGCCAACTTCTGACTCCAGCAGCTCCCACAACTCACACACAGGTCCCTTTTCCCCTCCCCAGAACCTCCTTCCTGCAGATGCATTATTCTCTGGCAGAATGGTAGCAAGACAAGAAAAAACCATGGGAAAGTCTTGTCCTGGTTCATAACAGGGAACAGGGAATAAAGATCTCACTCCACATCTAGTTCAGCAAAGGAATGATGTTCTGAGTCAAAAATTCTGGGTTTTCACTTGTCTCAGGTGGAATCAACCTGCAACTGTCCTGGCCAGGGTAAGCTGCACAAAGCCACCCATGGGCCCTCTGTGCTCACAGGCAGAGAGCACTGAGGACACACACACAGACACATCCCAGCATGTTCCTGCCCCTGCCCTGGCTGGCTCAGGGACACCAGCAGGGAAAGCTGCAGGATTGGTCACTGCAGCACTCACAGACAGGCAAGGAGGAGCCCGGTGATTCTCCAGTCACAGCCCCTCAGTCACCACCACCAAAGCTAAAATCCCACTTGTGAAACCAGAAACATTTCCACATCTCAGGTGGGCCTGAGTTCTGCACACCTGGTTGAATATACCTGGTTTCTGGATAGTCTGGAAAGGAAGAGCAGCTGGAATGTGGCTGATCCACTGTGCTTGGCAGCAAACTTGGTTATGGGCTGTTATTGGGATAGGAAGATGCAAAGGGGGCCATGGAGACTTCGTGTGACTGTGGCTGAGAAACAAGGTGTTCAGAGCAACCTGCATGTGTGGCTGTACTGGAAGAGAGTTGGAACACAACCACGCCATGCTTTCAACCAGCATGTTACAGTGCTTTTAAATCAAGGAGAATGGCTCCTTATTTTTATTGCTTACATATTTTCATCTTTAAAAAGTTACTTACAGCTCCCTCTTGGTTACCATTAGGTGACTAAAACTAGACCTCAGCAAACAGAACACTTTATTTAAAGCAATCTGAAAATACATACATCTTCAAATTGTTCTAAAACTAAGGTGAAACAAAACTCTATCTTTAAACATGCTCTTGAAATTATTTTATAGCAACAGTAATGCCATTTATGTATTTATGTGTAACTGCTGCAATATTACCCTCTTTTCCTGTGTGTGCTTTTTTTTTCTTTAACAGTTAACAATGGATTTACCATTTGTTTCTTTGGTTCTGTCTCAAAGGAGGAGTAACCCAGCTCTTCTAAATGTGGATAGCTTGAATCAGCAACAAAAAGTAGTAGCTGGGAACACATACTATTCTCTGTGGAGCTTTCAGAATATATATATTTTAATACCAACTCAGTTGGAAAACACTGGAAAAGGTGAAAACACAAAAGAAAGATGAAAAAATAAAGTTTGGATGAATTCAGTAAAATTTCGTGTTGCCAATCTGTGAAGAAATATCTGCCAGGACCTTTGGTACATGATCCCTCCATGCATTACAGGAAGCAATGCTCCTGTACTGAAGGAAGTATATAAATATGCATTTTTTCTCTCATTCACTGTCACCCTTCTCTACTATTGAACAGATTCCTGTGGTCTCTACCACACAAGCACTACTGCACCTATTTATACCTCTCTGTCGAGCTCTACATTTACGTTTTATGGCTATTAAATGCTTTTAACTTTTTTTAAGGATCTACCTCAGCTTAACTATTTGAAATCCTTGCTTCATATGTTTTTGTTTGGCTTACTGTCTGGGTCAACCTCCCCATTTGTTCCTGTAAATTCTTCATTGCCTCCCATTTTATGTACTAAGTTTGGATGAGTTTCCACAAAGCACTCAAATACAAACTTTTCCTGTTTTTTTGGGGAAGCAGAATCCACACATATTTTGCATCTCTGATTCAAAGAAAGTCCACACATTGACACTAACACATCCAAACCACAGTAACACTGGGATAAACTCTCCTATTTGACCCCCTTTGGCTGAACCAATTTGTTATCCCTATTCATTCTCAGATCCCTTGGGGCTGGGAGAAGAAATATGATCACTGAGCTTCAAAAGCATTCACATTACAAGTCATACATAAATCCTACCTTTAACTGAGTCTTTTCAGAGGCCATTTTTGCCTCTGCAGCAAGTTCATACAGATGTTTGTAGTCAACAGGTTTGTACTTCTGGCTGCAAAGAGCATTTCTTGCAGGAATCACTGGATTTTCTAGGATTGTCACATAAAACACATAAGGTCATTTCAAATTCTGGATAAATGATTTAAGTGTGAGTCATAAAATGAAAGCATTATAGATAGAAATTAGAACCAGTACATTTTAAACACTGGAATTTTCCATAACAGAGACTGTTAGTTGGAGAATGAGAGTTATATAAGAAACATTAACCAGTTGTCTGTTTACAAAAAGTTTTAAAATCACTGTTTACCTGTGAATTTCATTATGAATTCACTTTAAACTGCCTTTACTGGAAATTTAGTAACTTCTAATACAGAAATACCTAAATTTCAATATATACATTCTTCTTGCACCAAGCAGAAAACCTCCTCAATGTTTACTGTAACCTACAGATTAAACAACAGGAGGGATTTTTTTCTAAGAGATACCAAAACTACCAAACCCATGCAACAGGAATGAGTTGCAGTTCCATTTCCCAGTGCACCTCCAGCCATGCAGACCAACAGTTGTATCAGAACAAACGCAGAAAATCAGGACTGCAAATCCTGCCTGAATGGAATTTGTCAACAGGCCAGAGAGAACCTCTGAGGTAGCCCCAGACAGAGCTGCCCAGTATTCCTGGATGGATTTCCTGGCTCATGGGACTGTGCCAGGCTGCCATTCAGAACAGGACTGCGGCTTCTTCCCCTCATCATCATCATCACCCAGAGTTGTGCAGGCAATCCCCGGGCACAGGGAGAGGGCACACGCCCTGCACAGAGGAGGGAAGGGAAGGCTCCCTCCTTGCCTCCTGCTCGCCAGTCCTCATCTTCTCACCACTGATCTTCTCGTCACACCAATTATTCCACCAGGGCAGTGTTATGCTAAGCAGGTTATAGCTCTGATCTTGCATTAAGAACATTTCTTTTTTCTCTATATACCTTAAACAAAAAGCATTCAGTAGTTTGATCCACTAAATTCTTCCTTTTTACCCTGGGAGCTTAGCATGAATAATCTCCTTTCTCCCAGTTTTTAGGCTTTTAGGCAGCTTTTTTAAGCCCCCTTTGTGGGTTTTTCTATGTGAAGATTTTTTTTCCTTCTTTCTAAGGTTGCTTGCAACACCGTTCAGCAGAACTCACAGAAAGTCATTCCACATTCAAAGAGCTAAAAGTTTCAGACCCAAACGCTCTGAAAAGCTGAAACATCTCTCACGTGGAGATAGGCTGTGAGAGGTGGGGATGCTCAGTGGAGAAGGCTCCAGGAAGGCTTTATTGCAGCCTCTCAATATTTAAAGGGGGCTTATAAGGAAAACAGAGAAGAGCTCTTTACCAGGGCCTGTAAACGATAGCACGAGGGGCAACAGTTTTAACATGAAAAGAGGTCAGATCCAGACAGGAATCGAGGAAGAAATTCTTCCCTGGGAGGGTGGGCAGGCCCTGGCACAGGTTGCCCAGAGAAGCTGTGGCTGCCCCTGGATCCCTGGAAGTGTCCAAGGCCAGGTTGGACGGGGCTTGGAGCACCCTGGGTTGGTGGAAGGTGTCCCTGCCCATGGCAGGGGGTGGCACTGGATGAGTTTTAGGGTCCCTCCCAACCCAAACCATGATTGGAGAGCTCTAGCACCTTCTCTATGCAGCTATTGGTTGCACAGAGTATTTTATAAGCAGTTGATAAGACCAACTGGAACATACATACCTCCATCACTAATCCTAGGAGTTGAAAACAATGTTCCATGGTCCAGTTCACCCATTTTTATTTTTTAGGTGTTTTTTATATCTGTTGAGAAACAATCGGATGTTTTGAGAACACTAACATTGTGGATGCAATCTAAAAACACATTCAAAAATATCTATTATTTTCTGAAGGAGGTACATCTCACTAAAAATATAATTAGACAAAAATTCCTCAAGTCCATCTCTCATTTTAAGAGGGATTTCACATGCCTCGTACAGTTTAGCAGCTAAGAAAACAAAATATTATTTCCTCTGAAATCTGTAATGCTCACATAGATATCTGGTCTTTGCTTTATGCTTTTCAAAATATAATGAGTCCTTTGACCCAAACATTAGATCAGTTTTTGAGGTGTTCTTTGCTTCGGAGAAATTAAGCCTGAAAAGATCACTCTTTTCTTGCATTTAGAGACTGTGTCTTGATCCTTTTAGGAGTCTCTGCACTAACACCTGTGAAACCCAGTCAGCTCTTTCAGCAGCAGTCACTCGGCTCTGGGGGAGCAGCTGCATCCAGTACCCACATCATTGTGAAATTAACGTGACATTTAAGATAAAATAAGTTACACAACGCTGTAAAAAGACCTTTGAAGTCTCAACTCCCTTGCTTTCACCATAATTAAGCATACATGGTTGCCACCTCGGGTCTGGCATACAAATAAAAGCAACAGATCCAATGGAGGTGTTTCAGCCAAACTGAACCCATGGCTGAGTCACACCAGAAGGGGAAGGTCATGTCCAGCCAGGCTCCCCACAAACCTCCCTCAAAACCAGCTCTACTAAGCCAAAATTTCCTACACACAAGATTCCTCCTCTTTGTCATACCTCTGACTTTTGTGAAGGCAAGCAGCAACACAGTAAAGAGTAGAGCAGCAAAGTCTGTTCACTGGTGTATTGCTGAGTTATTTCCTCACTGTTCTAGTGAGTTGAACCAGTTTATCCCTACAAATTTCAAGGGTGGCACAATGCAACACGGTGGGAAGGAAGAGCAGTAGAAGCAATGGAAAGGGAACTACTCTGACAGAGAGCCACTAATGCCAGTCAAATAAAAATGTGAGAGTGCAAACAAAGACAGTCAACACTGTAGTTTCCTGTGAGCTGTTTGACACTCTGTAGGGCAGAATCATCAAAGAAATACAGTGTGAAAATCCAGCTTAGATAGCCCACAGTTCCAGGAATGAGTGTCCACACTTAGTGCACAGACATGGCAAATGCAGCTGAAATTACAGCCACCCCTGCTGCTGCAGCTCAGCGTGAGGATCGTCCTGTCCAGGGAACTGGGAGGTGACAAGGCCAAGGAAATGCATGAGCAGCAGGCTTTGCACAGGCAATACTCCTGGACCAAACCAAGGGCAAAACAGTGACTGCTCACGGCTAAAGTGTGACATTTCCCAGAGCATCATGCACAGTCTCCAGTGCTCTTTAGCCAGGCCATGAGACTGTCCCTTGCAGGCTAAACATCACCTGTCCTCACCCAAGAGTGGCTGTTCATTAATACAGGGGCCTCTGCAGATCTGGGCTGAGAGTATTTGACAGGATCAATAGATCAGAAGCTACACTGAATGTCATCATCTGGTCACAAATACTGAAATTAAAAACCACAAATCAAGCAAATACATGAGGGAGTTCACTTTCCTCTTGAAACACTAATGTATATTTTACCATCTGATGTCACCTGCAAATAAATTCACAGTTCTGTGCCAAACTCTACACCCTCCTGGAAAGTCAAGGGGGAAAGAAAGGAGGAAAATGTTAGCACATTCGTACTGCTGATTCTATTTTATTCTGCTTGCAGCAATTATTTGGTTTCAATTTGTAACTATATAACACAGCCAGATTCATCCAGACAAATGAGGCAATTCTCCATACCAGAAGCAACTTTGGCCCATTTGTCATGCTAATGTTTTATCTATACATCAGTTTATCTACATACAATTTCCTAACTGCATATATACTTAGTTGGAATAGATTTTTAAAAAAATTCAAATTAATTATATATGTAAAGCCTTAAGGTAGGGATTTACATGACACAGTGAAGTATGGGATTCACCTTACTTATTTCTCCAGGATGCACAAAGACACTTTAACTGTTGCTTTTTGCCCCCAAAGACAAAATATGGTTTTCTGCTTCTTCTTTGAAAGGTCGGCTACACACAGGTTTGCCTTTCGGTCTCTGGGACTCGTCACTGGAAATACAACTGAACAAGAAAGGCTCCATCACCAACACACAAATCTTTAAGTTATGGACAGATAATTTCAAAAGGCATGTAAAGAAAATTCTTTTTATTCAGGTTGTTTACAAGCCTGTAAATTAGGTTTAGTTTAGTATCCCTGCTGGCAAAATACCCTTAGATTTCCAGCCTCCAAACTCTTCTTCCCGGGAGGAGGGGAAAGCAGACACATCATGAAATTCTGTAATTATAAATAGGGACAGAGAGAAAACTATAACAAAAGAAAAGTGAAACCCCTGAAACTGGCATAATTTCCATGGAATTCTATAATACTCAGCACTTTCTGGAAAGTCCGGCACAATTCTGTGACAATCTTCCACTGGATCTACAGTCATTAGGGTTGAACAGAAAAATTCAAAACAATAATAATAAAAACTCAAATTCTTTGCTCAATTTTACCCTTTCATTTAACCTGAATTCAGAGAAAAGGGAAAACATCACAAGATACTTAAATTCTTTAATTTAAAACTTTTTTTTGATTGACCCATCTAAACCTTTCAGAGATCTCTTTCTTAGAAAGATCATAAGTCCCAATTCATAGGCTCCATCACGAAAATGTGAATATTCAACTGTGGCTTGGTATTTCAGTAACCTGACTGATGCTATTAACAACATAAGAGTGAAGACTGACTGCATCAAATCCCCTCTTACCCCATCAGATACAGCCTGTAGTTACATGGGGGCAGGAAAAGCAGGGGCAGAACCCTCCCAAGGATCCTGAACAAGCCTGGCCATTCTCCAGCAGAGCCGCTGGGGAGCTCTTCAGATCAGCAGCACCATTTTTAAACAACAAGTTCCCTCGAGGGTTTTGTGTACTATGGTTAATATTTACACAGCAATGTTGGTTTTCCTTAGCAGAGATATCAGCAGGGCTATCACACTGTGAGACTGCAAACAGAAATAAATATATCTGCATTGCACTGGAAGCAGATCGTCTGCACAAGATTTGGGGCACCACGCGAGCTTTGGAGATCTGTACCAGCTTCAACCAAGTCACCAGAATTCCTCAAACTAAAAGCAGGAAAATATATCTACAAGTGAAACCACAACATGGGATAGTCCTGACTACAGCGTGGGACATCAGGGTTCCTTGTAAAGTCAGCAGGAGAGACCTACGAGAGTGAAAGCTGCCTGGGCTTTGCCTGTGACCACCGGCAGCTGTGGGCACCACCTCCCCAGGCTGCAGGGACAGAGGGGAGTCAGCGGTACAAAGCAAACAATTTACCTCAGAGGATTCTCTGACTGCTGTTTTCACGTGGTTAGTCTTTAGAAAGGGCATTCAAGCCTCCACCTTCAGCTTTCCCAGTCCTCTCTCCAGCCCAGTGCCCCAGCAGTGACACTTCCACTGCCCTCAGGGCCCCAGCACCACTCCAGGAAATCCCTCTGATCCCTGTGATTCAGCAATTTCACAGAGCAGAAAATCCACTTCTATTTTTCATTCTTGCAAGCATAACCCATGGAGAATCACATGTAACAGATTTTTGTTTTTCTACTTCCTCTTGCATTTCCACTCTAGTTCATGGAAAGTGATGCAAATATTTCAGGGCACATCTGAGTTTTTAACAAGAATCACTAGATTTTGCATCTGGAAGTGCTTCTAATCACCTTCATACTTTTGCTCTTGAAGAGACCACAGGAATGTCTGTATTTTATAACCTTAAAAGAGTAATTTCAACTATGTCAATGTTCTCATTAAATTCTGTGACATGTTAGTATTTCTCCTGGTTGTAGAATCAGTATTAAAGGGGAAAGGAAATCAATTTAGGGTGAGGTTTAGCATATTTACATCATAAAGACACTTCACAAAGATAGAATTATTTGTAGGTTTAAACCCAAGAAATTTAATTGACAGGTGATTAATTCTGGGGGACCTTGCTCAACGCCTACCCAGCAGGCTCCCTGTCAGCTTCAATTGAAATCTTGCACTGAATGCATGCTACATCTTACAACCCAGACTTAGCATTTCTCATGAAAACTATTAATTTTTAAAGGTTTGCAGCTGCTTGAACAGAGCTAATGAGTTACAGCTAATGATTTTTTTTCCATACACCTATGTATTCTGGAATCTAAACTACTCAAAGAACAGAAATATCCATTTCAGGAAGAGTTAATTGCATTAAAGCGTATTTTTGCCTTCACAGGGGGCAACAGAATAACTTCAGTTTGCATACCTCCTTTCTAAAGGAAGATTATTCAGTAAGCAGTACTCCTTCAAACCAGAGTAACTTCATTTCCCTTGCCATAATTTCTTTGGGAATAGGTTTGTTTCTCTTGTGTTTTTTTAGTCATTAGTTATTAACATCCATAAAATGCAACTTGAACTAACCACACTATCCAGAAATTTGGTCAATCCATTTATCATTTGTGACCAGAAAGATTATGAACAGATTCCAGAAGATTGACACCTTGGCATTTAAAAGTTTAAAACACAGCTCTTTGGGACACGACAACAAGGAAATCATTAACAAGAGAGAAAATGAAAGCTCTAAAAGAAGCAGGAAAAGAGCTGCATTAGGGAGCTCTGCCAATTAGCATTACATGCTGTACAACTGTACAACTGCACAGGACGATGCAAACTGTTTCTGTAAGTGCCAGCAATCCCTATCCAAGCTTGACAGAATGAGCAGCACCTTGCAAGACAAACCTGGACTTTTCCAGAGTGTGATTTCCAGGCTGGTTTCTGGTTATTCTCCTGCCTTCCCCATCAGCTCACAGTACCTGTTCCAGCTCTGCTGTTCGTGGTCAAAAACAAGAGCAAGGGATTTAGAAATAAATTAAAAGAAAACCAGTCAGGTCAGGTGAGGAACTTCAGGCAGATAAAGGGAATACCACCTGACAATTTCATTACTGACCATGCCTTTAGTAGGGCTAAGGTTTTATTAGCTTAATGAAAAAAATCAGGGTGAAGAGACATTTCAAAATTATGAATAACATAACAGATGAAACACTTGCCTTTAGAAAATAACTGCACAAGAAGCTGACAATCTGGTCTCTCACAAGCTGAAAAGAAACACCAGTACTCTGCTATTGACAGTCAGCCTTCCTCCCCCCCGCTCTGTCACCACCTGAGCACTTCTACTGACAAACTCAGGAAGAGAGTACTGCACAGGGACTCTCATCTGACCCTTTAACAAGGGCAAAACCAACTCACTCATGAAAAATTGGGACTACTTGAAAGCTTTAAGGAGATTGGGCCCATCACACCCTCTTCCCTCTCTAAACCCCTTTTATCGCTGTTCCCTGCGCAGCTGCCCCGTCAGCGTCATTCTCCTGGATCACACATTTTGGGAGCCATCATCCTAATCTGGGTCCATCTGGCCAGATTTAAATGACAAGCTTCTCCTAACAGAGGAAATGCTGTACTTTTTGAAAAATAACTATGGATACCAGTAAGATTAGCAGCAGCAGAGCTACCCCTCTGGATTATTTATTTACTTATCTCTTTAGCAAATTGTTAATATCTTTCTACTGACAATTTCTCATTTAATGTCAGCACTTGAACAAAATTTCACATAATCACCTTAGTTTTACCTCCTTTGAAAAGAAAGCAGACAAATACATCTCCAGGAACAGAACTGATGCAGAAAAAACCTTACGGGCCACTTTCTGTAATCTTAGGGCTACTGTGCCTGATTAACCAAGTCCTTATTCCCTTCTAGCCAACCCATTTCTCTGTTCCACAATGGCATCATACATTTGTATTTGATCTCAGCTTTCCATGGACATTATTTTCTGTTAGCACAAATTCAACATTGTGACCTCACTAAAACAGAGAAAATGAATGCTGACATGGTTTTGGAAAAGGACAAGATCTATATAAACCCGTATTTTGTCTTCAGCAAGCAAATGTACCAAGCAAAATGACAAAAGCACTGCCAGTTAAATGTATTTCTGCTTTAATGTCAATACAGTTAAAAATCTCTCCAATACTATAAGAGTCCATCTAAGCTGAAATTCAGGTCCTGTACTTCAAGACTTGACTCAAACTTCAATACAGTCCCTAGACCAGGAGTCCAGATGCATCTTAGAAAGAAGTACAAAAAAGTCAACCAGAAGCCCCTGTACACAGGAACCTGTCCCCCAGGAACACCAACTCAGCTCTGCCTGCAGCCAGACACAGCTCATCTTTTAGCAGCAGCAAAAAGCATGAGATTTACCAATCCTCGGTTTCTCCTCCTTTGGACAATTTAGTATTTCACCACAATCTGAACTCTTCGAGGCAATAACAAATGTGACCTCTTAAAAGATAACATCTCCAATTCAACCAAACACCTCAGTGCATTCTTCCTGGAAGCCTGCTGGTGCCTGAGGTATGTGACACCAGTTTATTCCTACAGATGGGAACAGCCAGTATTGAGGCAAGATCCTCCTCCCTTTCATTTAAATAGAAATTAAAGTCCCCAGTGTTAGTCAGCACTTCTGGAGCAAGCAGAGTCTGCCCCAGGCTGCTCCTGGGGATGAGTCAGGCCAGGCCCTGGTTCCACAACTGTGAGTGCTCCCAGTGAGTTTAGCCAGTGACTTTGAAGGAGCCTGATTCCACTGTCTCGATTCCACAGGGCATTTGCACACGCAGATCTTTGCAGATTTGGGTCATGAGTGCCACTTTTTCCTCTCAGTCAAACTGCTGCTCAGGCACTGAAGGGCAGCACTGCTGGTGGGGGGGCACAGTGCTGAACAGCCTGGATGTGCCTTCTAAACCACAACTTTTTATGCATGTTTTAAATCACGTTATCAAACGCAAAAATCAATAATGTGAATCAGCTCTACTCAAAACACAATTTAATAGCATCATCCATGACAGTGTAGCAGTGCTCTTCACGTTTGTGAATCCCATGACAGCAGGTGTTACAATCCTCAGAGGCTCAGTAACTTACTGCTGGGTGCACATCACTACAAACCAGAGCTGAACAGGGATGACTGAAAACCTGGAACACCGCATCAGTGGGAACTTGGACTGCGGATTAGGACAGATGTTCCTAAAAAATAGAAACTCAGGAAAAAATACCCAAACACAGACATCCCTTATTCTCAGGGTTCTCTTTGGAATACCTGGAGATTCCATAAAATTTGTGGAAGGCTTCTTTTAAGATTTTAAAGTTTAATGGAAATGTTAATTGCTTTGCTACTGCATATTTTCACTCAAAGAAAAGGAATATTAACATGAAGTTGTTGGAACCCTCTCATCCTAATTATTGTCAGGGAAAAGAGGCAAAGAATCACTCCCATTGTAGGGCACAGAGTACAAACAACAAACAAATAACCAGCTTGATCCCTTAATCAGATCCATTCTCTTCTGGTTGAACTAACTATGTGAAAATGGCACCCATCCAGAACGTACTAATCTTGCAGCAGTCAATCCTTTCCCCGGGAAAATGCTCAGTATAATACTTCAATAATTCAGTGTCAAAACAGTTGCTAGAGAAGCCCCATAGTTTGATTGCAATTTAAATTTACATTCCCCTGAAGAAAGAATTATGGATCTCTTTGAAATAAAGTCAAGTCTCTGAAATGGTGCGTTCCCAAAAGAGACACAGTCCTTTTTGTCTATGATAATCTCATTACTTCCTCATTAAGTAAAACTTAATCCAAAGTAGGAAGATCAATTTGAGTAACACTTAAAACAATCAGCCTCATGGACTGCTCTGTCACCCTGCAGGGGCAGGGAATGGCTCATCTGCTTTCCAAGGATCTGCACGTTACAAGGGATAGCTATTCCCCCTCCATTCTTTGAATATTCTTAGAAAACCCAAGATAAAATAAACTTTAAAAACACTTCACATAGAAAAAACATTGCAGCAAGCAGATAAACAAAAGGAAATAAATGTTTTAGAAACTGACAAGTTGTCATAAAAAGCGTAGGAAATGAAGTCACCCATGTCACATTGGCTCAAGTGAGTCAGGGGGCATTTTACGTTGTGTTGTTTTGAACAAAAGAAGCTCAATCCACTTTCACTGTCCAAATGTGTTGCTTTCAAAGCTGCAGTCAGCACAACTGGCAATTGCAAGGTTTGACTGAAAGAGAGGATGAAATGAGAAAATCCTCTGACACTTCCAGAGGTTAATTATCATAGAACAATTGGGGTTGGAAGGGACCCTAAAGCCCATCCCTAAAGTCCCTCCCCTTCCACGGGCAGGGACACCTTCCACTGGACCAGGTAGCTCAGAGCTCCATCCAGCCTGGCCTTGGACACTTCCAGGGATGGGCCAGCCACAACTCCTGGACAAAATCCTGCTTTGCTGAGCTTAAGACAGAAATTCTGAGGCATCATCTACAGACTTCTGTATTTGAACACAAGAAATTTGCAGTTTTATTACATTGTTTTTATTAATGTTCCATCTAGCTTCCTATTTATTACTTCCATAGATAACAAAAGTTACCAACAATATGCTTGAACATATTCATTTAAAGATTTATTGGAAGATGTGAGGCTGAATTATCCATTATAGCACTCTATAATTTTCTCCATTACTGAAGAAATAACAAATGTTTTAAATCGACCTGCAACTGCCTGGTCCATAAATCATCCCTGTTATTGGCCAGGCTGTGTGGAGAGTGGGGTGTTTGGAACAGTGCAGCAAGCAACTTACCCTCTGCTCCTCTGCATCCATCAGATAAAATACTCACATCTACAGAATTCATTGAGCTCTACAAAAGTAAAGATGCTGTAACAAAAAACTGCAGAGAATCAACATTCCCTGCAGTACAATAAGGTACCTGGGCTTGGTACTTCTCAACCAGAGGCGGGATCCACCCTGCAGCACAGGAATTTCACAGGTGGACTCCATGTATGGTAACACAGGGCCCTTGCAATAAGGATGAAGTTCCACAGGCAGGGAGAGAGGAGTTAGACCTCAAAGCAGCTGCAGCAGAACAGTGTGTTCTGCAAGAGGCATCACAACTACTAAACCAGCAGATACTAAAACAATCAATACTGAGCAGTAGCAGAAGTTCAGTGGGAGACAGCTAAAGAAGCTTAGAGTAGAAAGGAGTCATTGAGCCACTCTATAAAAACACAAACACCTACTGAAGACTGACTGGGCTTAAAAAAATCTGTGCAAAGTATCTGGATTCCAGCTGTTAAATCACAGCCTCATTGCTCTTCAGATAAATCAACCAATGTCATTTTGTTTCCAGTGCTGCGAAATGAACAATTGGAAATGCAGTTTCAGAGTCATGATAGCTTCATTTTCTCTATCTAGCTAAAGCCCAGATTTTCTCAATGCAGGAAGGGAAACAGGAGTCCAGTTCCTTGCTTTGTGGAATTTAAGAGGTGATTTTAAGTTCTCCTCACATTTTGCACATCTTCTCTGTAGCCTTTTAAATTAAAGTACTTCCACCCACCACATTTTCATGTTAGCTTTGTTAACGATGTTTTTAACTTTAGAAAACCAAATCTTTATGGAAAGGTTCCCTGCCCCACTGCTGGAGGGGCCCCTCCCCACAGCTCTGCTGACAGACTAATTTGTGCCAGCATCTCCTAATGAACTGCAGGCAGGATGCAGCTGGATTAGTTCATGCTGTTGGGGGTACAGTTTATCAGTGCTTTGAGAACACACGACTGTGAATAAGTCTAATTTCTCCTTAAGCCAAGACACTTTTCCCTGTTACAGCCTACGAGGAGCTGTGGCTGTCTGGAGTTGCAGTGATTTGCACATTTATGGTTGTACTTCAGAGCAATTCTGCATCTCACCTGCCTGAGTTCCACAGGTCCCTTCCCACACCAAGCTGCAGGTGGGATGCAATCAAGCTCACGGGGGAAAGAGGAACCTGAGGGAGCAGGACCTTGTGAGGTTGTGCTGACACCAAAGACTGTCTCACCATCCCTTGAGTCCTCCCAGCCAATTTTTGTCTCAGTAGCATAGGAGGAGTCAGAACAGAACATTTGTCTGCAGCCTACGAGAGAGAAGCCAGAGGGACAGACAGTTCATGTGATTTAGGAGCCACTGCAGGTTATTTTGTCAGGAGCATCAGTATCATGTTGTGCAGCTTTGGCCAGTTTTGCTAGGCTGAGTTACATGCAGGGAAGCATTTGGCACTACTTCACTTTAAATTATTGCATAATGTTGTCTGATATGCTGCTACAAAAAACAAGCCATGCTTGTCTGAAGCCTCTCAGTTACAGCCATTAGAAACGTACAGTCTGAAAATATGAATCAATCTTTTTGCAGATACATTTTCTTTGTTGCCTCCTTATTCATAAGGATCTCTAGATTTCAGTTTGAAATTCTGTATCCCTGGTCTGGTGCGAAGGATTACAATTTATTTAATGTCTCAACACTCTTCCCAGGCCTCAAACACAGCCTAGTGAGAAGATGAATAATATTTTGTTCAGCTTGAGAACTACAGCAGTTGCTAGGACTGCAAAGGATTTTAGCAGGCCTTCCCCTGTCCTTGAGCAGACATAAGTACCTGCATTGTCCAGAGATGGGGTGGGGTGGTTTTTTGCTTTGTTTGTGGGCTCTGGGGGAGTTGTTTTGTGTTTGGTTGGGGGGTTTTTTATGTTTTCACTAACAAGAACCTGAAAACCCACAGAATAGGCCAAGTGCCGATCTTCTCGTCTTTACTGGACATCCAACTTGTTGATACCTCCCATCCTCTCACCAACCCATACCACCTGGCTGTTGCCAAGCTGTCCAGTTTTGTCAGGTGCAGCAATGTCCAAGAGCAGCCCTGACTTACGGGTGCACATGTGTGATCAAACCTGGTTTCACAATTAGGACCTGGCTCCAGCAGCACAGCTCACCTGAGGATGTCCCTTTCCTGCCCCCCTGCAACCCAAACACAACACGCACACACCGCTCCTGGGGCCACACCACCGGCTGAGGAAATACGTGGGGACAGAGCGCTCTGCTTTTGCCAAGGGAAGGGTACTGAGCTGTGAGCCAGCAACCTGCTGTTCCTCAAACCTCCATTCTGCTGGAACAGGTATCCATGGCAAAGCATTCCCCCTTCCTGCCCAGAGAGGAGGCCCCCTGTTCCCTCTGTGCTCCTTTGTGCAGGCACCAGAGGCAGGAACAGTGCACTTCACCAGCAAACTGATCCCACCGAGAAAATAAGAGCATGTGTGCTGGGAGCTTTCTGGGGAAACTGGACCAATTGTGCAATCCAGCTGCCTGCACAGTTGCAGAATCCTGTTGCTGGCACGAGGAGGGCTGGAGATATCCTTACAGGGCAGCATTGTCCTTCCCGTGGCAGCTGAGCCAGAGCACAGGGGCTCTGCCATCAGAAGGCTGGTGATCACACTGAGCATTTTGCAGGATCTACAATCAAATACTCCTACTTGATGCTTCAAAGCCATGTAGGAAAAATAAAGGAAGAAATTGCAAACAACCTGGCAGTATCCAAACAGTTTTCCTCAATATTTTGTTGTACCACAGGGAAAGGTAATCTCCACCCACAGCAGAGCAGTAATTTTGAACAGCACTGCCTGAAAGAGAACATTTCTGTAAAAGCTCTCGCTGAAACAGCAAAACCTCAGCCCCTCACTGCTGCAGAAATACACCTGTTAGGTGCCACACCACCCAGGTGCACAAGAAAAAGCAAGAGAACATGTAGTGCTTTTTATACCAAACGAAATTACAGTCTCCAAATTAGCCAAAATCAGTTGTATTGTGAATGTCTGAGTTGCTGTGACATCAACACAAAGGCTTGCAGAAACTTCCGAAATCAAATTGTATGTTTTAACAAGAGGAAAAAACCCCGCACATCTAAATAACTTTCCACCTGAGCTCTAAACAGCTGCCTGTGTGTTCAGTTAGCCTGCCATGGGCATCACTCTTCTCTGGGTATTTTTTCCCCAATCTTTGTTATTTCAGTATCTGTAACAGACTACAGATAAAACAGATAGCCCTAAATAGCTTCCAGGAAAACAAACAAACAAACAAGCAACACTGTTTTTGTGACTGATATTTGTTTTCATAATCCTGCATTTCCAAGGTTCAGGGGTTCTGTGCCAACAATTCCCACTTTTCAGCCACACTGCCTGCATGCTTACATACAATAAGAAAACCTAGATAACCTTGCAAACAGAGAAATAATCACTAAAATTAAAGATGGAATATATATAAAATGAATATGAATTAATTTCAGAATAAATGAAAGGAAGCAGGTAAACATAAGGACTTGAAATATTGGAAGAGTACAACAGTAGCAAAACAACCAGCAAATGCCTACTAACTATGTTGCCCTCTAAACCACTGAAAAGAAGCACAATCAGTGTAAGAGGTCAGATTCAAGGCTCAGGAGAAACCAGTAAGGTTCTGAAGGAAAACACGGCACACAGATTTTTATGGACTACAAACACAGCAGAATTAGGGCTTTCCAAATGATGCTGAGAATGAAACAGCATCTTCCTTTCAAGATACATCCCAAAGAAGGTGAATGAAAAGAAACTCTACTTGTTTGTTGCTGATCCCAAAACCGATATAAGAATTGAAACACGCATTTGACAAAGCCCACTATCAGCTAATGGAATCAGGAATCAAAGTTAAAATAGGGTGCCTTTCCACAGCCTCTCTTGTCCCTGTTGGGCTCAGTGCAGGGATAACCGGGCAGGATTGCTGGGCTGGGACACACAGCAGTCAATTAGATAATGCATTGGCTGCTCAGGGTGCCAAAACAAATAAAGCAGCTGTGAGGGGATGACTAATACCAGATAGAACGAAATAGATGCTCTTCACTGACAGTCACTCAATATATTTCCAAACCTGACAGGACCTCAAATGCTACTTTTCATTCTTTAGACTTGTGTTGTGCCAAAACAAACCATCTTAAGATCCCTTTCTCTTTCTTGCCAGCATTTCTTACCCTTTCCCATCCCAGCCCAGTGGGAAACTGTAGCACACAGCCAAAGCTTGCAGTGCACAGCTCCACAGGGATACAGGGCTCTTGGAACAGCCTGTTCTGCTCATTCTGGGTTTGCAGCCACCCAGAACCTGGGAGGCCTGCAGATGGCATGGTGCCACCTCCCCTGTCCTGCCAGCAGCCTGTGCCTTCCACAGTCCCCACAACAACTTCAGCAATGCTTACATTCACCTGGGAGCAATAAGCTTCTCCACTGCCAAAAGCTGTTATCTGTGGAAGCTAAGCCAACACCACAATGGCCAAATTACAGGTTAAAACCAGCTGAGACTGATTTAATTAATCCAGTACACCTCTGGTAGAAGCAACCTTGCAACTAATGAAGGCCACTGCTCTCAGAGGTTCTGTACTTTCTCCTCCCTTATTCTAGATCTATATATTTCACATTTTCTTTTTCCTTTTCCCCAGCTCTCCACTCTCATTTGACCCTTCCTGCACTTATTTCACCCTTGTTGCTCTTTGTTTTACTAAGTTTCTATAGTTATTCCTCTCAGTTCCTGTTTCCCATTTCCTAGAAGGAGGCCACTGTTCTGGGTTGGTAACATTTTATATCCACATGGTATGAATCATGCGACTTCCAGAGCAGTGAGGACTCCAGATCCCTGTTTACAACTGCCAAGCATTTTCAGTGTGGATATGATCATGCTGTGGGAGTTCCTACTGCATTATTCCATGCAAATACCTCATAGATTAAATATCACACCAATAACTTACAGGGTTTCTGAGTAGCAGGTTGTATTCCCAGGAGGAAATTAGAAGGGGCTATGAGAATTTTGAGTTTAAAGGTGACTCTCCATGTTCAGCTACCTCCTTGTTACCTGCAGTTCCTTCCTGAACAGAGGTTAAGGGCACAGTTCTGCCCATGGTGTTAACGTTGATTAAACCACATCACATTTCTCATGGGTCCTTTTGCCAAAGATAAAAAGATGGTGAATCCCACCAGACACCAAACTGAAAAACTGACCTGCATGGAAAAAAAGACACAAGTAAAGATGCAGATGCTATATTTATGGTTAGGGTACAGCAGGATTTCTACCCAGTGTGCCTCAATGAAACAGGGGAAGGGGTGAATAAAACAACCTCTTCAGACAGCAAGAGCTGCTCGCTGAATTACACCTAACACGAGTCTGCCTACAGGAGAGTACCTAGACCCTTTTAGCGTGCTAGACAAGTATCAGGAAAAGATAAAAGGCAAAAGCATAATAGAATAAAATGAGAACATATGCACTTCTGAGAAGATTCAAGTGGCAATTTAGTCTTGGCTCCTTTTAGCCACTTAAAATGTCAGCACCGCATCCCTCCGTGAAGCGGTGAGTGTGTATCGCTGTGGAGGGGAGGAGGGAGGAGAGGAGCGGTGAATGGGAAACCGGTCAGACACCTGGGACTGACCCAGGCGGTCTGTTCAGGACAAGCACACGATGCAAAAGGGCGACCAAACATTTCACGTACGTACCCTCCCACCCGAAACCTGTTATTAAAGTGTTTCACGGCATCTTCAGAGATAGCGGCTTTTCTTTGGTCCATCTATGACTCCCCACGCCACCAAGAGAGTTCAGTCCCGGCCAGAAGCTTCAAAGCGGTGGGATGTTCGAACACCATGGGAAGCACTTTCCAGTCGTTCCCGAGCGCCTGCCCTCGGCCCGGCGGTGCGAGCAGCCCGCGGGACTCGGCGGGTCCCAGAGCGGGGCAGGCTGGACGGGAGCACCGCGGGTCGCCCGGCCCGACCTCCCCGCCCGAGCGGGGTCGTCCCGGAGCACGCGGCTCAGCAGTGCGGCCAGATGGGGTCGTCCTGCGGCTCCCATGGGGCTCCGGCGGCGGGACCGGGGCTGCCGGGGGACCGGGGCTGCCGGGGACCGGGGCTGCCGGACCGGGGCTGCCGGGGGACCGGGGCTGCCGGGCCCGCCGCACCGCCCCTTTCGCACCCGGCTGCCCGGCCCGCCCCGCCGCGCTCGGACACTCACCACGAGGCAGCGTCCGGCCCCGCGGGCCCGTGCAGCGGGCGCGGCCGGCAGAGAGGCCGGGCACAGCCGGGCACAGTGCGGGCTGGGCTGGGCTGGGTCTGCTCTGCTCTGCTCTGCTCGGCTCGGCTCGGCTCGGCCAGGCCCGGCCCCGCGCTGTCCCCGCCGCACACAGCATCGGTAACCATGGCAACCTCAAGTCGCGCTGCCATTGGCGGGTTTAACGCGGGGCAGCAGCCAATGGAGCGCGGCCTCGGGGCCGGCCTGGCCAATGGGCGCGGCCGCCTGGCCGGGCGGCGCGTGACGCGGCGCGCGGGGCGGGGCGGGGCCGGGGCGGGCGGCGGGGCCGCCACCATGGAGACCCCGGGGTAGGGCGGGCGCGCCCGGCGGGGCCGCTCCGTGCGGTGAGTGGGGCCGGGGCTGGGGCCGGGAGCGAGGGGGGCGAGCGGCGGAGCCCGCCGAGGTACCGGGGCCGAGGAGCTGCGGAGCCTCCGCCGCTGCCTGGGGCGGACCCGCGCGCGGCCCGCGGGAGGAGCACGGCGCGCCCTCCGCGCCCGCGGGAGCCCGGTGGGGTCGCCCGGAGGGGCCGCCTGGAGGGGCCGCCTGGAGGGGCCCTGCGGCCGCAGGAGCCGCTACCCGGGCGCTGCCCCGGGCGCCGCGCCGAGCCCGGGCCCGCCGGTGTGTGCGGGGCGTGCGCGGGCCGGAGCCGCGGGCAGAGCGGAGCCGCGGCGGGCACGGCCCCCGGGCGGCCGCACCGCGGGGCGAGCGCGGGGAGCCCGCGGCGGGGCGCGGGGCCGGCCCGGTGCTCCGGAGGTCTTGGGCTCCGGCTGCCGTCCCGGTGCTCCCGCGTGTCCCGCGCTGCCGTCGCGGTGATCTCGGGGGTCCCCGGCCCCGCTGCCGTCGCGGTGTTCCCTCCGCGGGATCGAAATGCAGGTTCTGTACCCGCTGTGCGACCGCAGAGTTCCGAGCCGCGCTCCCGCCGGTACCGGGGAGCGGCGGAGCATCCGTGGCCCGCGCCGGGAGCGCGGCTGGTGGGGCTCCGGCAACTTTGTGCGGGGTTTGCCCCCGCTCTGCCGCGGGAGCAGCGGCGTGGGCAGGGCCGGTGCGGGGCCCCGGTGCTGGTGCCGCCGGCCGTGCCTCGGGCTCGCTGCAGTGCGAGAACAGAAAGTGCTCTGCAGGTGCCGCTCACCGAGGGCAACCGCCGGGGCTCGGGCTGAGAGAGCTGGGACGTGAAGTGTCGGCACAATAAAATTAATACTGCTGCTGAACCTGGGCTGTTTCAGCACAGAGGAACCATAGCTGATGACTCGAGCCTGCTCTGCTCCATTCCCCCTCCCGGCTGACGCTCCGGAGGCATCCCCGGCTCACCGGCAGAGAACCGGGTGTTTCTCAAGTGCCTGTGTTTGCCCCGTAGACCTTTGCACCTTTTTTTTTTTTTTTTTTTTAACAACCTCCTGCTCCTTGTTAATTTTACATTAGTCATTGCTTCCAGATTCGACTGTTTGAAGGAAAAGGTGTGGTTGGACTGAGAGCAGTAGTGTTGCATGAACCGGCTTTTCAGTTTTTACAGCATTCTCATTTGTTGATACCTTTGAGTTTAGAGGTTAGGAGACAGCAAGGATGATAACGTTTTTCTCTTAACTAATAACTATATTTTTGAGGTAAATAACTTGTTCACTGTCATAAAAACATGGAAACCTATTAAATGTACTTGTTTAGCTTATGGGGAGACATTAATTCAGTCTTGTCCATCATGTTTAGGGTGGGGGGAGTGTGTTTTGAGAGCTTTTTGTTGGCACTTATCTGCTGTAATGTTTCTGTTAAACATTACAATGTTACGTGCAAACGAATGTAACCGGACTGTGGAAAGCAGATTGCAGTAACTTTCTCCTTCTGTTGAAATTGCTTTTGAAGGGCCTTATTGCTGCTGGAATGAATTGCTATTAATATTTTTAATTAAGGTAGAACAGCTGATGGGCCTTTTCCAGTAAAAACTATGATTCTTTCCCTTTCATCTTGTTAGATGTTAAGGATAAATAGGAGTACTAACAATAGAAGTTCTGCTGTAAAATGCAGTTGGAGCAAGTTTGGTGAAAGAGTAGTCTTCGATAAGAGGGGAGAATTTGTTCTAGTTTTTCTTAAAATTTCAGTAAGATAACACCTTTTGGAGTTTGCTTTTTTTTAATAGTAATGCAGGATCCCTTTACAATGAACGTGATTTCAGTCACTCAGTGAAAACAAGGAAAGCAATAGGATACGTTACTTTTTTTTAATAGCAGCTTTGTGTTGTAGCAAAATAGGATCTATAATGTATTTTGGTGTATTTTTTATATTGAGTGATAGGATGTGCTATGTACAAGTAATAGTAATGTCAATTAGTAATGTGTCTGGTGTTTAGCCTAGAAACCTGCATATAATGTGAGAGAAGCCTCTGTGGAGAAACTTTCTGCATATTAACCAAACAGGAAACATAAATAAGGACTTCATGTACTTCTGCTTCACTTTATGTAGGTTATTTAAATATATTAAGTACAGATGAAAAGTTAAAGCAGTTCTGAAAGATGGGACTCTGTGAGTAATGTCTTAATTTTGTTGTGTGTTTTTTTTCTTTCTTAATTGTGATGCTGAAAATTAGCAAGTGCAACATGGGGTTATTTCTTTGGTGCAGGAAAGCAGTTACTGGTTCAGGGAGCTCAGTGAGCTTAATGAGATGGTAGTGAGTGTAGTCAAGAGCAGTTGGCTTTAGTACCAGGAGGCATTTATTGTAATATTTTACAGAAAAGACCCCTAAAGAACAAGCAGAACTCATGATCCTTGTCCGGAAGAGCGTACCTGTGAGTCTGTTATCAACCACAGTCTGTATTGCTCTCAGTTGCTCTTCTGTCATCTACAGTGAAATCAGGGACTCTGGGTTCCAGGGATTGCTCTGGAGAAGTAGCTGTGCTCCTTTCCAGCTGTTCCCAGTGTGGCTGAGCAGAGCAGTCCCCAGGAACGGGGGGCTTTTCTGAACAGGCTGCAAGGCTCTGTTCTGCTGCTGTGGCCTGGGAGCCCAGAGCTGCAGGAGTTGGGGGAGAGGCTACCCTGCTTCAGAACAGTAACCTGGTGTGCCAGGGTTGGGTGGGACACAACTGCAAACAGCTGCTGCAGGTAGAATGTGTTTCACCATCTCGTACGATGAGTGCGCGGACATCTCCCAAAGAACCCGTGCTGGTGTGGGTCAGAATTCTGGAATTTCAGGAGCTTTGGTTAGGTTTGGGGGTTTTCCTCTAGTGAAAGTAAGACAGCAAATCCTAATGAATATGGCATGTACTATCTAAAAGTAAACTGGTTCAAACTTCAGTAATTAAGTAAGAAAAAGAAAAAGGCTTGTCAGAGCTTTACGTGCAAGTGACTGGAAAGCTGGATCTGAAACTGGGCTGTGGGGAATGGCCCATAACTATCAGTTGCTGCTGTTCCAGCCTTGACTGCAATGTGCTGTCATCAAGGCAGTTCCACTGCTAGTGAAGATGGAGAGCAAATACGTAACCAAAGCCTGTGGAAATGGCCCTTCCCGAGGAGCAGGATGCACTGGCTCCGGCAGCAGCGCTTGGAATGGGGCTGGAGGGACTGCCAGCACCAAGAGCTCCCTGGGCACACTTGGGAGCTTTGCTGATTCTCAGCTGCTTTTCCTGAGGCCTGTGAGATGTCCTAGTTCATTGGATAACTTCTCATGTTCTTTTATCCAAATGGAATACTCATTTATTCTGCTCAGGGGAGGTTTGCAGAGGGAGGGGAAGACGTGGACGAAGACAGCCAAAAACTGCCTCTGGTGACTTTCCCGAAGCTTTTGCTTGCATGGAAGATAATCACAGTGTCTTGTCAGTTAAATCTCTGCAGCTGACAGCAGCGTTCAGACCTTTGCTCATCTCCCCCTTGCTGCTCCTTTATTCTGAGGCGGAGAGAGAGACCTGGATTTTAGGAGGAAGGAAGGACTCCTTCACTGTCAGGGGAGATGAATTGCTTTCTTTTTTGATGATGGGATCCCCGACACTGTCATTACAAGGAAGGCTGGAGGAGAGAGGGCTGTGCGTGGTGTCTCCCAGCGAGGCGTGGAGAGCAGCAGGACGCGGTGGAGCCGGCGCGTGTCCCGGGGTCAGGGAGGTGACTCGGGCTCAGGCTTGTCCTCCTTTCGGGATGGGCTGTGAGTCAGCCCCGCTTCCTGGAGAGCGAGCGCTGTCTGCGGGGGCAGCACCGGGAACCAGCCTGGCCAGTTTGCTGCTGCCTTTCCTTCGGGAGGGGAGGGCAGAGCCTTCGGCTGGGACCCGACAGAATGACTGTGGCTGTCTGCACCTTCCTAGTGCTCTGCATTGCATCCTGCTTTTACACGCAAATGGAGACAACTTTGGGAAGTTGGGGAAAATACATTCTTTGTGTATGGTATTTTTAAACAAGATGCCTTTTTAACAGAATTTTTTTTAAAGGGCATACTTTTATTATTCATGTGTTTTCCTCCTGTTATTGTAATGTTAAGATTTTGTGGTTACAAAAGAAAAAGAAATTGCTAAGAAATGTCTCCATGACCATCTCTTACAGATCTTCCCCCCCTTTTCTACTTTCGTTGCATTTTAGAGAGTTCTTATCTAGCACTAGGAATTGAAGATGAGTCAAATTCCTGTTTAATGGCTTTTAAAAATCATTTCAAGTATGCCTTTATTTTAGTGGAGAAAATGAAACTAGGAGTTGTTACTTTCTTTGAGGGTGATTGATCCATTCAAGAAATAAT